ATATATATATATATATATATCGGGTCGGTCAGGATGGTGATGACCGTCAATCCTTATCCTTGATAAAACCTCTGAATTCGTCCCCAACACCCACCATGTCCTTGAGAAGTACCCCACAAACCCAACTCAAATTTCAAGTTTCAATTTTCACCATTGATATTCAAAAACCCAAATTGAAAATTATTGATTGCGACTTCTGTTTATGGACATAACCACATGAGAATCATATCCTCTTACGTCTCATATTCAAGTGTGTTTGAATTGGTTTGAGCTTGGCTTCAAATGTCAAAAGTACCAGGAGGTTATGGGTTCAAATCCAAAAAGAAATAAAAATCCCCTTGTGGCCATGGAGGTTCAAATACGGTGAATCCGGACTATCTGCAAAGCATATGGTAGTCCTAGGATTAGTCGGCTCACATAGCGGATTGGATATTCAAATTAATAAAAAAAAAATGTGTTTGAAACTTTGAATTATTCCTAATCAAGTCCACATCTATCAACCAATGACATTTCAACCCCTCTTCTTTCTTTCAATTCTCACAACTTTGGTCCCTCCCTTATATTTTGTTTACAGATAGCCCCTATTTTGGGATGTTACAAATCAGGGATACCCATCGTCATGTTTGACTGGTGTGAGCAATTTATTTCTATTTTACACAGAGCATCTCCAACAGATATATTATTTTAGAAATTTGAATTGTTTTTGCTCCAATAACTATATAAAATGTCCTCAAAAAACAGAGAAAAAAAAAAAAATGAAAAGATCTCCAAATTTGGAAGAAAATATAATATACATATCATATATGCTCTTACAGTTTTCACTTTGAAAAAATATTATTTGCATATAACGATAAATAACATTTACATATTTTTTCTTCATTTCAGCTAACATAAACTTTTTTCAACGTCTAAATTACAAAATTATACAAAAACCGTATTTTAGGACATGAATGATAAAAAACGACATGTTGTATGATTTGTCTAGTCTTTCACTTATGTGGCACCCATGTGAGTAGCAACGTATAGAAAGATGTTGCGCATGGATTATTTCGACAGCGTGACGACTTTCTAGTCGTGTTCTATAATGCCTTCTTCAATTGCCTTTTTCGCTCCCATATTGTTCTCTAGAGACTTCCCGACCTTGTAGTTAACATGTCCAATATTCTTATTCGGACAAATCCGCACACATCTAAGTACAACACGTTCAGTAATCGATCCAAGCCATACAAACCAAAAATTTAATCGCAAGTGGAGTTCTTTTTATCTTATTTTTACCAATAAATTGAAAGAAATTCAATTGGATTCGAGCATTCGGTCTATAATGTCACATGCAATGACACCACCATAGGATGCAACCACTTTAGCATAGGGGAGTACATATCAATTTAAGACGAGTGCACCATTAAGACCCCTAAAAAAGCTCCACAATGTCAATACGATAGAATGAGTGCACGTGCATACTCTCCAGTCTACTTAAATTTGCCATTGGTCACACATGCATACATATAACTACCACCCACACCCATCAAGACAAATTTGACTTCCACGAAAGAGAGTTTRGGTTCCAACTCGTTGATGGAAACATATGGCGGTCCACCTTGGTGGAATGCTACTTTAAGAGCAAAACCCCGATGAGACATGAAACTTGGTAGAGAAAATTACAACTCAATATAGTTTTGAAATTACAAGATGACCATCATGGTTTGTAAAAATGTCAGTATTTGCTCCACCCCCAAATACTATTAAAAATATATGTTGGGAGGTGTATTTTTGTCTTTTAATCAAGTCATTTACCAGTTAAAAGCTATTAAGATTATAGTAAATGTTTAAAGAATAAATATATATTTTATCTTATATTAATTATTCTAATAATATTATTAATGCTAAAATATTTAAAATAAAATAATTGTTAAAATCAAAATTAGTTCATTTCAAAACTTTACTTTTTAGTAGGGTATTAGAAAAGTTATAAAATATATGCAATAAAATACTCCAATACAGTCCCGTTCAATATTTAGCCTAAAGATTATCCATGAGCAAGGCCCACCCCATATTATCACAATCGTAACCTAACGTCATTCAGTAAACTGACGTCCTACACGTGGAACCATCTACATCAAACACGTGTCATAGCGTCCTTGTCAACTATAGCCAAATGTTATATGAAGCGACATATACGCCTCTTTTTGCTTGAAAGAAAATCTTTACACCTGAAATACCTAATCTACCCATTCCTGATATGGTTCTRAACGTGAAGCAACCCCACATTCAAAGTAGCCACAAAAGAGTAAATTCATGTCGGCAGTGAAAATGCTACGGTACGGACCCCTATAGTGAAATTTACACTTTTGTCCATAAGATGCAATTGATAACTTTATTAAATAAAGAGTAAACTATAAAGTTGGTCCATTTGTCCCTTTACTTTAAGAATTATAAAATGATCATCATGGTTTGTAAAAAAATCTGTATTTGATATTTTTTTTAAGGACCGTTAAAGAATTTCCTAAATGAAGGGTATTTTCATATATGTATCAATTTCTTTTGTCATTTACCTAATAAAGAACTATAAGGACTAAATCTTAAATCGGTTTTGATTGTTTAAAAGACAAAAAAAATCTACAAATAGACAAAATTACCCCTCGTAATAATGGAATTGTTTAACAGAGGTTAGGGTGATTGACCAAATCCAGATGTTTTTACCAACAACTATGGTTATCTTGTAATTTGGGAAGTATAGGGACTAAAAGTGTTATTTGTATCAAACTAAAGAGACCAAATTTGTAGTTTTCTCTTAAATAAGCAATTCAACTGTTGCTGGACAAATGACCGAACTACCCTCAAATATTTCAAGAGTGTTGCCTTCGACCTTGCGTAATAATTTGAAAACTCGAGGTCTCTTTCGACTAATTAACTCACCCAGACGCTTCAAAACCGGAGCAATAATGGCACGTCAGATTCCAGCATGTCATGATACCCATGTCAGCAATATAGACGATTGCCATATCTATATATACACACACACACACACTAAACGCACCCTAAAAGAATTCTCAAAGGCTTGGAAGTAATTTAAAATTTAACTTATCTGAAAATTTTCTTGCGTCGTTGCCGTCGATTTCTCGCCGTATATTTTCGCCGGAAATGAAGTGTCAGGCAACCGGACGTGACCTGAAGATACGCGGCGTTGATATCTCGTGTAATGATGGTTACGTACTCTCCTAGCAAAAGCCTAACTGTAGCTAAAAATCATATGCGAAAGCAAGCTGTACGTAGCAGATTTATGAATATCGTCCTTGTTTTAGTCTCGTAAATAGTTCATTAAATACTACAGGATACGACAGGATAATGCTAATCTACAATTATGAGGCATCGGTTTTGTAGATTTTCCTGAAATAATAGACGGATTTGGTAAGTTTCTGTGGCAATCGATTGATCATCCTATGATGATAGATCACTGTGCACTGTTTTAATGCCTGCTTCGATTTAAATTTCGTATTTGATTTTGTAGTACCGTAATAGTTAATTAGATCAGTTATTGTTTGTGAAATTTTGAGGTTAAAAATTACTTCATCCTGTTCTAGATGGATTCTGAACTCAAATAATCGGTGAAAAGTTTTATCGCTGTGCGTTTCACAATGAAGATCCAGCCAATCGATTCCACGACTTTGGAGTATTTCGAATATGAGAAGACGGTGCCGAAGTCACGACTGAGACGTCTCTTTGATCTCTCAATTTTTTTGAAAGGATCGGCGGTGGAAGATAGATTCGTCTCCGGTGAATTAGAATGCGGCGAAGACGGCTTGGATGAAATCGAACCGACGTCTGTCTGCTTGGACAAAATGGTTGAGAATTTCTTAGAGGAGAGCAATGGGAAACAGTCCGCACTTAAGTGTGGCCGGCACCATCACTGCCTGTGCTTCGACGGCAACGTTCACCGCTGTAGCGAAAGTTCTGAGGACGAGTTTGACTCGTTTAGTTGTTTTGGCAACTCAATCAACAGCCGTGACTCGTCCTTGGATGCGTGTAGCCTTCTTAAGGTAACTCATTCGTCATTCATTTTCTTTTCTTCTACGACGTTGAATAATATTTTGATCAATTTGTATCATCTTTTAGTATATACGGTTTAACTTTACGTCATTTTAATAGAGTTTGGTGATCTGTGAGACTATCTCTGAAAGAGATTTATTGGCCGATTCTGCTAAAATCGTTGACAAGAACAAAATCTGTAAACGAAAAGTTGAAATTAATCGAAAGGTCATCGCCGATTGCCTCTTGGCGGCCGGATACAACGTTTCTATCTGCAAATCACGTTGGGAAAAAACTCGAACTTATCCCGCAGGTATTAATTTCTTCGAGTAATTGTTAACAACCAATGTAAAACTTTGTAATTCGATTTGATTTCATTGATCCTGAATGTTTGTTCTGGATTTGTTATGAACAGGGGAGCACGAGTATATCGATGCTATTATAGAAGGCGATCGTTATATAATCGACATAGATTTCAGATCAGAGTTTGAAATCGCAAGATCAACAAAAAGCTACAAAGCTGTTCTCCAAATGCTTCCCGATATCTTCATGGGTAAAACCGATCGTCTCTTGAAGATCATAAACATTGTTACGGATGCTGCGAAACTGAGCATGAAGAAGAAAGGGATGCCATTCCCGCCGTGGAGAAGAGCTGATTATGTGAAAGCCAAGTGGCTTTCTCCCTACACACGAATCAACAAATTCAATGCCTCTACTAACACAAAATCTGACACCAGATTTACAATTTTGACGGATGAGAAAAAAGGACCTGATCAAAACGTGAAGCAATGGGATCCATTGGAAATCAAACCCAAAACCTCGAAGATTGTTGGTAAAGTTATTGGAGGTTTGGCTTCTGTGATCGAAGGCAACGGTGAGAATTGATGAATATACTGTGGTAATCGGGTTTTGATTTGTTTGTTTTTTGTTTTCTTTTGAAACTGCGAATAAACGAAGATAAAGATGGTAGACTGCTGCAGGCTCTGCAGTCGCTTCGATCTTTTGTTGCTAGGAGCCATTTTTAGTCGCCATTTTTCAGTAATGGCAGACCTCGTTTCAAGATCGATGAGGCGGCGGGGGTTGGTATCAACTTTGATCCAATAGCTTCTTGATAAGTTTTTGTTTTAATACTGGAAAAATTCAAGAAATTAAATAACTATAATAAATATTTGAAGGTTGGTTTGTGACTTCGAAAAGTCTGAAAATATCTATTTACAAAGGCTACACCCGTCATTTTGAACACCCCCTTCCTCTCATATTTAATATATTTTTTATTTTAAAATTACATTTTATATTCTTATTACTTAATTAATCTCTTTTATGTTACTTGTCTTTTTATTTTTTTGTTTTACGGTCTTCTTCYGTAAACATATATAATTGTATATTAACTAAAATACATTTAAAAAATATTTTAATTGTAACAARTTACATCATTATAATCGTCTCGTCAATACCTTCAAAATGAAACTAATATTTAATATTTTTTGATTTAATTATATTACACGAAAAAATGTTTTTAGTATTTACATTTTATACCCTTGTAGTTAATTATTTAATTCATGGTACGCCCCGAACAATATCTATTTGTCTGAGTGGTCATGAAGACGAATGAAACATTATCTGCAAAGAGTTAAATGATTGAACTAACTGAGCATCAAGAGTATTACTCTTACGTGATTGGTAATGAGTGTGTAAGAATTTACGAAGCTTTGAATTTCTTCCAGAAGAGCGTCTTTGCACCTGCTGTGCGTTTGATTATTATGCCTAAAAAAGTCATTATAACCACTTCAAGGTTCAATGTCCATAGTATATGTTCTCAATATGGCAGACATTGTGACATATTTACTCATTAAGTACACAGTCGTCGTTATCATATAAACACGTGTGACGTGACAATTGCATTGGTCCATGTTAATGGTAACCAATACATAAATATGGTATTAACCGGAGAATACACAATGCTCACATTTACACACCATTAGACACATTGTCGACTTCAAGATGCAAGTACATGGATTGTCTCATATCAGTATATATTAAATGTATACCAAGAACATATAGAGTGTTGATTTAAATGAAAAATATAATTAATTTTATTTAAAGTTCTAAATGATGTGAGGTGTAGCATAACAATTTGGTCAAGCTTCAAATGCGTGTGTGTGTGTGATGAAAATATGAACAAAAATAAGCATTGGTCAACGTTCTAAAATATGGATATTTGTGGAAATGATCATAACATATGAACACCATGTGATTATAAATGCTTTATGGCTATGACACATTCTTATAAACACATATGAGCACAGTCTTGTAAACAAATTATGGTTATGAACACGTTTTGTTGAACAACTATGAACATCATTAAATAAAAGCAACTTACACATAAAAATTACATATCTGTTCTTAATCATTAAATCAAACACTTGAATCTTATTGGTCCAATAAGTTCACGAAATTAACATCATATTATTGGTTAACAATATATCTTACCCTCCATCTCTTTATACATATATATATACCCTTGTTCGTATATATTCATCTACCAATTTAATACATCATACTATTGATAATTACATAAATGTCATGATAAATATAATCCTTTGATTTCAAGATGAATGGTTGTGATTGATTCACAAGATTAACACAATATATCGGGTTAACAAAAGAACATGCCCCTGTATATGTATGTATGTGTATGAATATATATATATATATATATATCTTAATCAAAGGAGAACCTATAATTTGTGAGATTCGTGAGATCAATTGTGAACCAATCATTTAAACAATTGTGTTATTTATTAAGTAAACAAAAAAGGATAATTTAATCAACTCATAAATGCATTTAATTAACTTTTTCCTCCTACAAATAGGAAATCTACAACCTCAAAAAATAATAAATCTGTAACCCCTAAAATAAAACATTAATTATTTGTTCGCAATGTGTATTCAAGTTTTTACACAATACTTTAGTAATTTTTAGTGTGTTTTTTTGTTCTTAGTGTCTTTGTGTCGCATTGTGTTCACAAGATGATCACAATATGCAAAAAATAGACGATGACAATGCGTGTGCAAGTTTTTACACAATGCTTTTAGGGATCTTTAATTTTTTTGGTTTTTTAGTGTCGTTGTGTCACATTGTGTTCACAGGATGACCACAATGTGTAGAAAGTTGGTGGTCACAATGTCTAATTGTAACAATATATTTGATAGTGGTTTACATTGTGATACTACATGTTTTTTGTTTTTTGTTCACTTAGATGTTTGACGGGTGTTCAAACTTGATTATTGATTTTGTTTATATTGTGATACTATAGATTTTTAGTTTGTCACATTGTGTATAAAAATAATGTTTTTACTTGTTTTTATAGAAATGACATAAATTAGGCAAAAATGCTAAAATGACCACTAATTTAAMGGAGTTAACGGGGTCATTAGTCAGATGGACCATAGCCAAGACTAAGGGGCTGTTTGRCAATTGCTGAATGATTTAGTGTAGAATGATTAAGTGGTCAGAATGATTAAGAAACTCTCATGATATAGTGCAAAATAACTTATAATTTTTTTGGTAATTATGTACAATGAAATTATGGCTCTTAATGGTTAAGGGAGATATAGGATACAAAATCATTCAGAGGGTTTTAGAACCATTAAGAGGCGGACTTTCTTTTTTGCCAAACAAGATTCACCTATTAATTATTCAGAAGTTGCCTCTTAATGGAACTATTAAGAGGTAAACAAACAACCCCTAATTGAATACCACAAGAACCAAATCCCCAAAAACATACTATAGGGACCTTAGTAAAAAAATTATCAAAATACATGGACCAAATCCACAATCCACTCTATAATTTGTGTTTTTAAAATAGAGAATACGTTGAAGTTGAATGTAATTTTTTATAGAGATTTTAACCTTTGGAGAATATGTTTTATAAAAATTACAGAGAGCTCGTTGGAGATGCTCTAATTTCCAAAAACGAAGAAATTGTTAAAGATGAATATAAATTTTTATTGAAAGCCCAAAAATTTGATTGTCCATTTTGAAGAACCTGTTTAAGATGTTTTACCACTCTATTTGTAATTTTTCTCTTTGTTATAGGATTGAAGATACGAATCGACATCAGGGACGAACTCAGGTGGTTTTGAGGTGGCACGTGTCGCCTTTTCGTTCTTTCGTCGTAGTGTAAAAAATTATAGGGTCAGTGAAATGTGTTACTATATCAATTTGTTGTGTGCCACCGTGTATATATTAAAAGTATAATGATGATACAAGTTTTTCTTAGTAGAGTTGGTTTGCAATACTTTTCTTACATCCCATACATGAGTTTGAATACCGTTAGTATCATCTTCTTAGTTTTAAAAGAACTGATTCGATAAATAATATATTTTTAAATACTTATTTATGATATATTTATAAAAACTATAGATACAAATTTTATTATACCACACTAATGTAAGGGTTGGGTTCATGTGAAAGAAGACTGTTTTCGTGATATAAAATTTTTACTCTTGAAACTTCACAGCAGAACGCTGTAAAAATAAAAAAAGTCGAAACTTTACAGCAAAAATACTGTAAATATTACCTTCACGACTTTTTACCGTGAAATTTCAAGTTAGAGAACCTTTTCTCACATGATACCAATTCCTAACATAAATCGCTACTTTTTAACTCACAATTTCTCATTGAATTTATATAATTATTTGAATCTTGGTTTTCTTCATTTTGCAGCTTCAAAAAAGATAGACATAGGCCCATGATCATCGCAATCCACATCAACCGGAAACCCATCAATCTCCACCGTCCAAGGATTCAACTCATCATAATCAACGGTCCTTACTGCATGCCACACCACACTACTACACTTAAAACCCGACCCGAATGCAATTTGCCATACGCGACTCCCTTTTTTGACCCGACCCTTGGCCTCTGCATATGCAAGCTCATACCAAATGGAGCTACTGGAGGTGTTGCCGAACCTGTACAACGTCATTCTAGAAGATTCCATTACAGCGTTGCTAAACCCTAGGTTTCTCTGTAACTCGTCCAGCACAGGCTTCCCGCCGACGTGCGGGAGGAAGTTTTCGATGGATTTGGCATAATTTGGTTTATATGGTTGGATATTCGCCGTTGGCCGGAGTTTTCTGGCTATCGTATTTGTTAGGTACTTGAGTTTCTCGGAAACTGGAAGGATTTGCATACCTAGTTTGGTTACGTTTGATTCCACGACGGTGGATGCGGCGGTGAAGAGGTGTTTGGTGACGGTGATGCCTCTTTGTCCGGCGGCATCTTCCTCCTGAATGATGCAATTGTAGGAGCGATCGGAACTTGCTTCATTGGTGTGTACGGTGTGGAGGAGCTCGTATTTGCAATTTTGATGGTCGGAAGGGCGGTTCGAGAGGAGAATTGCAGCGCCGCCGACGCGGAATAGGCAGTTGATAAGGAACTTGGAACGATCGTCTCCGATGTAGCAGTTCTCGGTAATGCTTTCTGTACTCATCACCAATGCGTATGTGTCATGATGCACCTGTGAAACATCGGTAGCTTTCATAGATCAATCGTTTCTGGACTTGTGTTTTTATAGAATTATAGAATATTACAATGTGTTCGTATATGATGTGTTTCTTATAAGCCATGAATGAAACAAATAATCATCCATGTCCTTGAGACTCAAATCCACAACTACCTGTTTACGGAATTCAATAGGAATTTGTCTATCAGAAGACCACCTGTTGTTGTGACATGCTTGAAAACTGTTTGACAACTAGAAGCTAGCTTATTGAAAAAACTTTGTTTGATTAGCCGAGCTAGCTGATATAGTGCTTTTCATGCCTCCTCTGCCAGCCCCATGATGACCGCAGGACTGGTGCGGTGGGGGCGCCTCATAGGGTAGGGTAGTGTCTACCCTTTATTTCACCGAGCTCCAAGAGGTTTTTCTACTTTTTTCTAATTATGCCCCTTATACTTTTTTCGGTTAATGTTCAACATGTACTTTGGTCATTTTGTATTATCATTTGGCTATTGGCTGGTTTTTGTCAAACATGATTATAGTTTTCAGCCACCAACTAGCTTATAGCTAATTTGCGAAACATAGCATCAACCGAAGTTGTGTGTTTGAACTATTGAGGAAGTTGGTAATTTAGTATGATAGATATCCGTATCCCTTTGTCACAAAATAAATCTTCACATTTCTAATCTAGTTTGTCTCGAAAAAATTGTCCACTTTCGAAAATATTCGCCTATTATCCCAATAATATTCTTAGTTATGAGATCAAGAAAGTTTATCTTTATACTATTAAGGGTAAAATTGTCTTAATTAAAAACATTCCTAAAAATGTTTGCATTTTTCATTTTGGATATTTATTTTGACTCGGAGGGAATAATATGCAACATAGAGGATGACTAGCTATGTTTTGAAAACTAACCTGGAGGAGCTGTTCTGCAAGGCCAATTGCTATGAGGCCTGCACTGCATCCCATCCCGACAAGATTGTAGCTGGCGATGCTTTCTTTAAGCTTATATCGATTCACTATCATGCTAGAAAGAGATGGCATAGTGTTATAAATACAACAATTCACGACAAGTATCCCAATCTCTTCACATTTTACACCTGTTTTTGCCAACAACATGTCTATCGACCCAAACACAGACATCTCAATCTCCCTTCTTGATTCTTTCATGCACGGATCAGCAACTTGTTTCAGGTAGACCTCTGCTAAATAGGTTGAGTCGCCAAGTCCGGACTTCTCTAGAACCTTCCTCATGAAGTCCACCTTTTCTTCCGAGAAATAGCCGCTATGCTTTGCTTTCTCGACCATGAAGTCTTTTGCAACCTTCTGACTATCTGGGGCCTTGTAACATGCAAAGTCTAGTAAGTAAACTCTTCGTGAGGTTCTTTTCGTCATGTAAAAAGCTATCAGAATAAGAGATACGAGTAAGCTCGTTAACAGAAATTTTGCTTCGGGGTTGAAGTTGGAATGCATATTGTATCCCGAGAGATTCTTTAAAGTGAAGGCGAGCATGATCTTTGAAACTTAGGTAACTAAGAAACTTTCATAAGCCTGGATCTCTAGAAAGCTGTTATGGTTATCATATTTATATTGAGTAGTAGCTGTTGCAATGTTACTTATTTTCACTATGACCGCGATGAAGATATGTTCACACAAGCAGAAAGTGTCTTTATGCTGTCTATTTTTATAAACTAAAAGACTATAAATAGCTCCGTATCATTCTTGCATAAACCTTGATGAAAAGGACGTTTGTCACAGTATACTTTGATGGTGCCATATAAATGTATGTATACTTGGGGGCTGTTTACTTTTTTTCCACAAAGTCTTGGATGGTTTAAGTTGTCTGCCTGAATAAATCTTTGTTTGAGGAATGGGAGACCGATGGGTTTGAGGGAGGTAAAGAGAGAGGGTCGGATTATTTCTGGGTCATTTGTGGTATTAATTTGCTTGATGTGGCTAATGGGGAGAAGTGAGGGTTCTGGCTTATTCCATACAACCATTATAGCTTAATGGCTTAACAACTAAGGGGCTGTTTGGCAGTTGCTGCATGGTTTAGTGCAGTATGATTAAGTGGTCAGAATGATTAAGAGAATGTATGATTTAGTGTCAGATAGAAAAAGGTTGTTTGGAAACTGTTCTGAATCAACTGTCTGAATGACATAAAATTACCATTTTACCCTCAGTTATATGTTTAATGAAAATTAACGTTTAACAACAATTTTGAAGGAAATTTCTAAATGAAAAATAAAAAATAATTAATGGTCCAAGCCAATACATAATATTATATCAATCCAAACAAACATGACAAGCCGTAAAGAAACACTCCTTTACCATGATGAAAGAATTAAAGATATTTATCCTAGGTATATGTCTAGTCTAAGACTTAGGTATTATCCACTAGTAGAAAAACTTCATCTTGATGAAAGAATCAAAGATGTTTATTCTACGAAAGTTGCTTATACCATTTCCATCATCCGTATGCTTGCATACTTTTCTGGGGTAACCATGGGTGTCCGGATCAGTTTGTGCACACTTTGATTAATCCCATGGGACCTTGAAGATAGCAGCTAGGAAAATCCCCAATGGCCTTCACACTTAACTAGCGACCCATAGGGAGGAATCCCAAGACCTATAGCCTTTATTTGCCATTTGAGCCAGCCCTCAACATACTCCCTATCGGACGGAGGATCGTGTGAGAATAGGGGTTAAGGTGAGAAGTGTAGGAAGGGATTTGGACCCTTGATCACTTTTAATCCCAAAACAACCCATGAATTGCGCTTTAGAAGGGAATTGATCTAGTGTATCTCATTAGTGTTGATCTAGTGGTTCTCTTCAATTAGGATTGATCCGAGGGTGGGGATCCCTTCTTAACCTTCTCACCGTAACTTTCATTCTCACCCGAACCCAACCCTCCCTATCATCAGTAGGTTATCTTTTGTTTGATCTAGCAATATCATTAATTTACAGGTAATGTTTACATTTCCCTTTTGTACTCCAGAATCTCTTTCTTGTGCCTTTTTAGTGACTATCGAATCTTTTGTTAGAAAAACTAACGGGGTTCGGAAAAGTCTTTTGTAGATGGTGTCATTTGTATGGTTAAAGATGACAAAATGGTAAAGGGGAGCAAATGCAGTCTTCTTCCATAGACATGTTAGCTTTTATTAGGCATGACATTATGAGTCATATAGATGTGATTTATATGAGTCTATGCAAACCGATTTCCATTTAAGCAGAATCCCAACACCATTTTTTTGTGATTTTAAGAATCTTGAAACTAATTACTGAGATTCTCTTTATGTGGAAAAGCTTATATTTCTTTTTCATCTATGTGATCAATTAGGGAATGTTATTATGTGGGTAAGTGTTTTAAGTTCTTGATATTGTGTTTTTTTGAGAAATAATAATAAGTCCATGGATCAGTCTGGTAAGTTGTTAGGTCATATGTTTTTAAGATCTTTAACTAGGTTTCACTTGTATATTGTGAAATTAAAAGCTCATTAATCAGGTGGGGGACAAGTTTCATGATTGGTGTACCTTCTATTACTTTAATATGTTAATGCATTATTATGTGTATTTACCTGGGTTTATTTCTTTCTCCATATGGTCCCAAAATCATTAAATCTGGTTCAACAACTTTGTAACTTATCATACTTAAACCTTGGGGGCCATCTCAACCGGTAAATAAAGGTCAAACATCTTTAGTTCGAGTTTTTAGAGAACCACTTCGGATTTTCTTGTCTGTTATCTTCAGGGATCCATAGGATTAGTTAAGTTATATGCAAGTCAACCCAAACATCCAAAATTACCGAATACAAATGTTTTCACACTTGATGTGTAATTCATAGCATGGTTGGTTATTGAAAAGACTGTACTAGCTCTTTCATTGTACAAATTTGGACAATTCTGTAATTTCTAATTATAACTACACAAAAGAACCAAATGCATTTGCCTAAAAAGGCGAACTTTTGAAATACCTAATGTTTTGCACGTTATTGTAAGAATGATGGTTTATTTACAACTGAAAATCAAGTCCGATCGTTTATGAAGTTATTCACCTTAATTAATACATAAGTGTATAAACATGGATACATGACTCATAACTTACCCTTGATGGATGCTTCTTAGGTCATTTTCTTTTTGAACATTTCATTTTTTGAGTCTGTATTGTGAAGACAATTATGAAGAGATTGTGGATTTTATCTATTTGATTTTCATATGGACGAATGAAATAAACCCTGGGTCTTATAATTGATAGTTCCCGTGTTTGTAATTTATTTTTCCTTGTTTTTATTACCTCAGTTTTGTGATTGATTGTTGTTGTTTATATGAGGTTGGTATTTGTTTTACTTTTACACTTGTTTTTAAACCGATTATGTGATTGTATACAAAAAAAATGATCTTCGCTCTCTTTTGGTGCATCAAATACCAAGACGACAACAAACCATATGTTGTGTGTTTGGTATGCTGGACAAAGCAATGCAAAAGCTTAATAGGTGGATCAAAATAGGGAGATGAGACATGTTGAGAAATTACTAAACTATCCATGTCAAATTGAAACCTTAAAACCTTTCACAATTAAGGTGCCGTTTACCCAAATGCTTACCCGGTAAGCGTTTACCAGTAGGAGTCAATACTATAATCTATTTTACTAAGTAAGATTGTAGTACATTACCAAACACTTACCCGGTAAGTGCTTACCGGTAAAATTTAACACTATTATTTACGTACCGGGTAAGATTTTAGTCCACCAAAACGACATCCTATGCAACAATTTACCCAGTAAATGCTTACCGTGGTAAGAGTCGTCGCCCTCACTTACCGAGTAAGATTCATGGTCCTTGTCTCGCACTTACCGGGTAAGATTTTTGGTCTTTACCATATTCATCCGGTACGGTAACATGACTTGGTAAGCACTTACCCGGATAAGTGTTTTGGTAAACGGTCCCTAACTYTCATTCTTCACTCTCGTCCGTCCAGTCTGACCACCAAATGCACCAAAACTCTTTCGAAGTGTATTATGTTATATAAAGATGTACTTTATGAAGTCTTGAATCTAAATGTTTCTTTTTAGCAGGATGGTTTTTCATAATTTTAGCATTTTAGATGTTCCCTCTAGCCTCCTGAAAGATGCACCAAACATAAGGGGTTTGGGAAAACTTTCATTACATGGTGACATGTGTATGGTTAAAGATGAGAAATGGTGAAGACTGAAGAGGGTGTAACCTGTAAGGGCATAATAGTCTTTTTCCATACCAACTTGCTGAAAATTTCTTTATTTTCATAGACATGTTATATTATGAGTTATAGATACATGGGAAAGTATGATTTGGAATCAAGCAGAATCATAACACCATTTTTGTGATCATTTAAACGGTAATGAACGAGGATGAAAAAAAAAACAGTAATTGATGGGAATAAAATAAAAAAAACTGTTTAGTTTTATATAATATAATAAGTTTAATCCCTTAGAAGCCCATATTTTAATTTCCGGTTAAACGTGGGGATAAATGTTTATACTCGTTTTAGTTACACTGCATCAAACACCCTCTAAATCTTGAAAAAAGAATGATAAAATTGGAATGATCTTGTCTTTAGCAGTATTGGGATTCTCCATCTGCAAAACTTGATATTGCTTTTACATCTCTATATCAGCTCGTGTTCTAAGTTCTTGAATATTGCGTTTTTAAGAAAATTAATACGTTGTTGGACCTGATGTGGCAAGTTATTATGTCATTCATATGCTTCTAAAATATTTAATAGGGTTTCTCTATTATGGTTGGATTTTTTTTGGTGAGAAGAAAAGTAATGGGGAGAAGTATAAGAAAAGATCTTCACCATTGGATCAATCCTAATTGGATGTCAACATTAATGAGATGCACTAGATCAATTATCTTTTAAAGCGCGATTCATGGGTGTACATTAGATTAAAAGTGATCAATGGTTTAGAATTATTCTTACATTTCTTATCATAACTTTCTTTCTCACAATCTTTTGCTTGAATTTAGATTGTACCTTCTAAATTCAATGCAGGTCCAACACAAAATTGTGGTGTCTAAATCTAAAAAATATGAATAATGAAGCCTCAGTATTGTTGGATTAAGATAAAACTCAATGCAGGTCCAACACAAAATTACCTTTTTAACACAAACAACGTTATCTATGAGTTGTTGCTTTTTTGCGTTCAAAATACGGTTATTTAGTGGCTAATAATGTCGGTAATTTGGGACCGTTATTTGTCTCATGATCTCGAACCGTGATAGCACCACTATAGCGACACAATTAATAGCACAAATTCAGAGTAAAGTACGTTTTTCGTCTTTATGTTTTGTTCAATATTGATGCATTCGTTTTTGGACGTTTGAAATGACAGTTTTCGTCATTTGAAGGCTGGAATAACTACATTAAAGAGGATCCGTTAAGTAATCAATATTTTAGTCTATTTATCTGATTCTATCCATTTATAGATTTTAGATAACATATATTCTACCATAACAAGGCATGTTTTACGACATCTTAAATTTTAATATCTATTCTTCTTAG